CGAATTACAAACTCAAATCAGCGAAGTGAACGGGCCCTAATATAATAATGTGTTTTTTCTTATTCGAATTAAATATCCATGTGAGTTGTTGGCCATACGACAATGAGATCTATCTGTATGAATACATATATAGACATTGGATGCCAACAGCTATCATTTGCGTGCTCAAAAGAAGAACTAAAACCGAAAGCGAAAATATCAAAGAAAAAAAATACAGAAGCACATAGAGAAGATTGAGAGGAAAATAATACGAAAGAGAACCAAACAATCAGCTTCAGTGAGGCTGTATTCCGAAAGATAAGACAAAAATACCCAAACAAAAATCAAAACAAAAATAAGCAACTAAGGATAAAACGGTAAAAATATAAATTTAGAACACAACCAGAAGTTTTCCAAAGAAGAGGGAGAAGAAGGACCGGACACTGTTATAAGAACAGTAGCCCGGGTACCTCCTTTAGTAGTATGTATAATGTGTGTATTTATAAATTTATTGTAATTGATTAATGATAAGTAAAACTGTAAAAAAAAAAAATAATAATAAGGAAAATTTTGTTAGCTGTTTTTGTTCAAATTTAACCATCACAAAGTTTATCAAAAATTGTAATTAAAAAACTTAATCAATAAACAAACTAGTCTATTCAACATTATCTCAATAACAACAAATTAGTAAAACTAAAAAGATGTCGTTAAAAAAAAAAAATAATGAAGGGATATTTACACATTTATATTCTCTATTTTATGTTTTTAGAGTTTTTATTTTTTTTAAGCCCCTGATTTAGAGGCGAGGTGGGAGTAGGGCCACATTCCAATCCTAATTATATATACTCTTACATAGATTGAGTTTCGATTTAATTTTAAAAATTTAGTATGTTATTGTTAGAATTTAAATTTTGCATTAAGATTCCAATTATTTTTATGAGATAATAATGGTGATATTGTTAAATTTTTTTAATGGATAGTGATTTATATAACACATTCATGAACCAGAACGCTCTTATTAATTCAAGTACCGAATCAACACTCAAGAGAATTATGTATCTGCTTCTTTCTTAAAAAGGAATGGATTCCATCTCATATAATAACATTCCCAGCTACTTACTTCATCATGTCCCTAAAATACAAGGAATAGGATTCAGGGTCTCAGAATCCGTACCGAGTAAATCAAAAGACACAAATCCATAAATAGGAGTTTGTTAAGAACTCAGGGCTAAGATAATTCTATATATGACCATCGGTAGACTCAATTAGAATTTCTATACTTAACGGAAATTATTAAAAATTCATATTGTGTTTGTGTCACCATATTAACAATGCGGATAGCACCGTTCCATTCTAAATGAGAATGACTTGTATTAGTAATGTTCTAATTAAAGATTCTGAACTTTAATTAAATTTATTACGAACATCATTTTTTGATTATTATCCTTAAACATTATCCTCTTGTATATAACACTTATATACAATGTTTAAGATCATATAAATAATTATGAAATTTTCATTGATATTCCTAAAATATTCATAAATATATACACATAAAATAATGAATAAACTCTTTTATTAAATAAATAATAAATATCCTATTACATTTCATGCTTCTAGGATAATATTCTCAATAATCTCCACGTGTGATGCACGAGGGCTATAATCTGTGTGTTATGTTTTAATCACGGCTTTATCGAGTTTTAGGCAAGAAGCCAAAAAATTTTAATAAATCAAAATTAATAAATAAATAAGTTTAGTGTAAAAGGGACAAAAACAAATAAACTAAAGTTTCAAGACAAAAATAAAAAAAGAGTAAAACGATCAAAATGAAGAAATAATTAATTTCTAGGGAAAAGACACAAAAACAAAACAAAATTTAGGAGAAATACAATTTCAAGACAAAAAAAAGGGTCAAAGAAGGATTAAAATGAAGAAATAAATGAGTTTTAGCGTATGAAGAACTGGAACCAAAAGCAAAAATAATAAAAAAAAAAAGGTCAAGAAGAGACCAAAATGAAGAAATAAATAAGTATTAGGACAACAGGAGCTAAGACAAAAAGTAAAATAAAATTTCAGAACAAAAATAAAAAAAAATGATCGAAAAAGAACTAAGATGAAAAAATAAATAAGTTTTAGGGCAAAAATGGAGAAAAATAAAAAGAAAAAAATGAGATTTTAAGAAAAAATAAAAAAAGTAAAAAAAAAATAAAATGAAGAAATAAATGAGTTTTAGGTAAAAGAATCCGAATAAAAAAAATAAAGTTAGAGAGTAAAAGGAAAAAAGAAAAAATAAATAAATTTTAAAATAAATAATGAAAACGAAAAAGAATAAAACTTTAGTACAAAAATAAAAAAGGGTTAAAAAAGGACTAAAATAATAAAATAATAAATTTTTTGGTGAAAAACAAAAAAAAGAATGACTGAAAAAAGTCACTTTTTCGAGCAAAACAGTCGAAAATGTGGCCGTTTTGGTAAAAAAAGTGAAGTGACAATGGGAAATTGATACATACTATTCAGAGAATTATTTATTTATTTATTTTGTATTTCACTAGAAGTTTCTACATCTGAGCTTCTTGCGAATCTCTTTAGTTCATTTTTATATCGATGCAAACACTCAATTTTTTTTGTCTTTTTGTCCTTTGTTTTTGCTAGTGTTGGAACTTTGGGCCGGCGGGCCTGCCTGAAGCCTGAATTTTTCGAGCTCGGCAGGCAAGCCCAAAAAATGGCCAGTCCAATGTCCATTTTTAGGCTCAGGCTCAGGCTGTCCAAAAATGGACGAATCGCCGGAGCTTGCCGTCGAGAGATTGTCGTCAACGCCGATCGCCGGAAGTTTTTTGAATTTTTTCACTCCAGCCTTACTCGTTTGAAGCCCGACCAATGGCTATATTTTTTACCATTGGCGCCCAACCCGACCCGCCGACCTAGTTGCCTAACTCCAATGATTTTTTTTCCGTTGCCCGATTTTCGGCCCGAACCCACCCAAACCCGACCTGCCGAGACAAAAAAATGGCTGTTGGATCCGAATTTGGGAGAAAAAAAATCAATTTTTTAACCCAAAAATTTATCTATAAATACCCTCCATCCCCCACACATATTTGTATACAAAATTAATTTATTAAATTGTCTTAATAATGTGTGTTGAATATTGATTTTAGTTTTTATATAATTTTAACACAAAATAACTTAATAATTATTTATATACAAATACAATTACTAAATAATAGTATATTATATATAATATATATACAATATTATAAAAATTAAAAAATATAATAAAAATATATATTTTTCGGGCCATTCGGGTGGGCTCGGGTTGCCCGACTGGGCTCCGGTAGCCAAAACTAGGCCCGCGGCCCGTCCGTGGGCCTTCTCAAGCTCAGGCTTGGGCGGGCAGGCTCAAGCGTTGGGCTCAAAATTAAATTTTTTGAGCAGTCGCGGGCGGCCCATCTAAAGTTTCAGCACTACTTATAGCTCAGCACATTCCTCACAAAATGGAAAATGGGTTTTCAAAAAAAAAAATGAATGCAAGGAGATCTGTACACACATTTACTTTTAAACCATAATAATGTGACCTATATTTTGTAACTAGAATGCAAGGAGTTCAAAGCTATTTTAGTATTTATATACAAATACAATTACTAAATAATAGTATATTATATAAAAAAAATATATATATACAATATTATAATAAAAAAATATATTTTTTTTCGGGCGGGCTCAAGTTGCCCGACTAGGCTCGAGCATCCAAAACCAGGCCCGCGGCCCGTCCACATGCCTTCTCAGGCTCGGGTAGGCGGCCCAAAAAATTCAGACTTGTCGGGTCGGGCGTCGAGGTCAAAATCAGTTTTTTTGAGCGGTCAAAGACGATCTGTCCGAAGTTCAAACACTAGTTTTTGCTATCCAAATAAGTAATATCAGAGCATACTCATATGATATATTTTTCTAATAAATAGAGTAGTTATCCGAAACCCTCACCACGTCTCCTTAATTTTGCATGGTAGACCCTTTCTATTACTTATTTGCAACATAAATTGTCATTGTTATCTGAAGAAGACGGTCTTAGAGAAGCACTTTACAAATAAAATATTTTTGCATTTGTTTTGTTAGTAAAAGGAGTATTGAAAGGAGAAGAGATACTTAAAGACCCAATTGGATAGTATATTTGAATTATGATTTTGTTTTCATTTAAATTATTTGTGAGAGAATTATTGACGAGAATTTTTTTAACTCAAATTCTTTGTGAAGAAAAAACCTTACAGGAAATTATGGTTTAAGTTTAAATGTATATACCAAACAACCTCTTAGAGAAACAAAACACCCTCTTAGTAAAATTTTATATTATTATTTATTTAATTTTAATCGATGTTATTATATTTTAACATGTTATGAATTTAAGTTACTTCTATCTAAATCTAATCCAATGTATAAAAAACTCATTTTCATGTAATTTCTAAGTTCACATCAAGTGTTAATTTTGTGTTGCACTTAGGGTGAGTTTGGTATTGCTTTTAAGAGAAAAAAAGCACTTATTGAGAGATTTAAAATCTAAAAATATGTTTGGTAAAACAGATTTTTAAATAATTTTCACCCAATTTAAAGCTAAAAGCAGAATCAGCCTTACGCTGATTCTGATTTCAGCTTATGCGGGAATGAGTTTAGTGTTTAATGAAATTTTTTATTTCCAATTTTACCCTCACTGAAATCTCAAATTTACCACCCATTTTCATTTCAGATCTCTCTACTCTCCTCCACTCGTATCTCTCCATTCTCTACTCTTTGATTTGTCAGGATGAAAAGGACGATTCGCAAGGTCAAGAAACCAGACAATTCTTCCAAGGTAATGCCTCCTCTTCCCCCAAAATTAAAACCCTAACCTCCGTTTGGTTCCCGAGAAAATTCGAAAACAAGAACAGAAACGGAATGAATTTTTAGTTAATTTTTGACTTGTTTTTCTAATTGCTGGTTCTCTTGATCTCTTTGCATTTTCCTGCTGGTATGTCTTTCGACGACGAATTCCAATGGATTGGCTTCGAGCGTTTCGTCATCGAGATGTGCCTATGTCGCCGGGTGCGTCCTGGTGGTTTACGATGTGGATTCCGGCGCCCAATCGCACCTCATGGTTTCTCATCGAATGCCGAAATCGTTGAGCTGCGTCCCCGTCTCCCTCATAGCAGCTAGAGAGGTAGAAAATCAATTTCTTCTGATAAACCATTTGTATTTCTCTTGTGTCAATGTTAGCGTTTCTTTATAGTTTAAAATATGTACAAGGCCATAACGCAGGAGCTTGAATTTGATGGAAATAAGAATATCCTCAACCATAATTTTAAATAACTATTTCCTGCACGAATTTGTTGTCATTAGATTTTTCTTCTCCATTTTTATAATTGTATAGATTGTATAGATAAAGGCAAACATACATGTGTGTGTGTGTATTTACAAGTTTTTTATGTGCTTCTAATAATTTTTTGCAGTCAGGAACTCAAACCTGCAGTGTTAGTGTGGGACGTTGAGACACTAGCCTTGGTGTCTGAGCTTAAAGGTCATCTGTTTGGAGTTGGATGCATTGCATTCTCACCTTATGGTTAGCTTAAGCCTTGAATCAATCATCAATATTTAATATTCAGCCTTATTATTCTGCTTCCATAGTCTCTTTCGGATTTCTTCATTTTTGCTGTTTATAATCATATTAGGAAGACATTTGGTGTCTGTTGGAGGATACATCCATCTGTGGGAGTGGCGGATTGGTATGCTGGTTACAAAGCTTAAAGCAAGTGCATCTTGTTCTGCTATTTCATCAGTTAGCTTCTCATTAGATGCGAAATTCGTTATAACTGCTGGGAAGAAACACTTAATGTTCTGGACTTTTAGATCATCCCCAAAGACTCGTATAAGTAAAGGGAATGTATCAATGACAATGCATGGAAAGGCTGTCAATCTTGGTCTTCAGAAGGGAAGGTCATTTATATCTGTAACATCCTCCCTAAGAACTGATAAAACTACTATGTGTGGCCAGGCTGGTGAATTTTTCCCCTTATACGCATTAACTGATGCAGGTTGAGGCTAATTTCCCATCAATGTAAGCTATAGTGCATTTAAGATTGTAAAGTTTGACCTCACAAGTCCCATTCCGTTGTTTACAGGTGTTTTGTGCCTTATACATTCTGGTTTGTCAGTAAGGAAGTCTATGGATTTAAAGGTTCGTTTTATGTTCCCCATATGGTTCTTGGTGGATTTCAAAAGATCCAATTAGTATTTAAGGAAACTGGAATATTTTTGGAGGCCCATATAGCTACCCGAACAGTGAGTGTAGTCGAGTACTGGTCCAATTTATGTAATAATTGCCTTATAGTTTCCTTACTCCAATTCCAATTATATGTTTTGTAGCATTCCTGGTTTTTCTTTGACTTTTTAGTACAATCCAATGCCATGTTTGGGTCCTTAAACATACTCATGGTCTTTAGTATTATAATGTTTCAAACCTTGATGTATTATATGCATAGAAGAAAGCAAGCAAGAAGCTAATTGTTTGTGCTTGTAGTAGTAGAATAGTGCGACTCTTCACCATTGAGACCCTTGAATATGCTGGAAGTCTGTCATATTCAAAGGATAAAAAAGGTGGTGGGATTGGGAATAATGACATTTTTTTGTCATATTCAAAGGATAAAAAAGGTGGTGGGATTGGGAATAATGACATTTTTTTCCCTAATAAAGATGTGGAAACAGATTTTCAACTTTAGAGGACAATGTAGAAGAAGACGAAGCTTCACTATCATAAGAAATGGTTGAAGTACGAGATCAAATTGTGACAAGTTTAATGAACACGACTTAATTCTTTTAATGACTCTGTAATTTTTTTAAAATCCGCAGCTTCACTCCGCTGCGGATCAAATTGTGACAAGCATCAACTAGCTTCACTCCGCTGCTTCTTATAACAGCTGCTTCTTCTTTCAGCACAGCTAAAAGTAATTTTTTTAAAATCCGCAGCAATACCAAACTAAGCCATTATAATACTAAAGACCATGAGTATGTTTAAGGACCCAAACATGGCATTGGATTGTACTAAAAAGTCAAAGAAAAACCAGGAATGCTACAAAACATATAATTGGAATTGGAGTAAGGAAACTATAAGGCAATTATTACATAAATTGGACCAGTACTCGACTACACTCACTGTTCGGGTAGCTATATGGGCCTCCAAAAATATTCCAGTTTCCTTAAATACTAATTGGATCTTTTGAAATCCACCAAGAACCATATGGGGAACATAAAACGAACCTTTAAATCCACAGACTTCCTTACTGACAAACCAGAATGTATAAGGCACAAAACACCTGTAAACAACGGAATGGGACTTGTGAGGTCAAACTTTACAATCTTAAATGCACTATAGCTTACATTGATGGGAAATTAGCCTCAACCTGCATCAGTTAATGCGTATAAGGGGAAAAATTCACCAGCCTGGCCACACATAGTAGTTTTATCAGTTCTTAGGGAGGATGTTACAGATATAAATGACCTTCCCTTCTGAAGACCAAGATTGACAGCCTTTCCATGCATTGTCATTGATACATTCCCTTTACTTATACGAGTCTTTGGGGATGATCTAAAAGTCCAGAACATTAAGTGTTTCTTCCCAGCAGTTATAACGAATTTCGCATCTAATGAGAAGCTAATTGATGAAATAGCAGAACAAGATGCACTTGCTTTAAGCTTTGTAACCAGCATACCAATCCGCCACTCCCACAGATGGATGTATCCTCCAACAGACACCAAATGTCTTCCTAATATGATTATAAACAGCAAAAATGAAGAAATCCGAAAGAGACTATGGAAGCAGAATAATAAGGCTGAATATTAAATATTGATGATTGATTCAAGGCTTAAGCTAACCATAAGGTGAGAATGCAATGCATCCAACTCCAAACAGATGACCTTTAAGCTCA